GAAGATACACTCCGGGGAGAGTGGCAGGTCTACACAGACCATATAGGAGCAACCTAAGAGGGAGGGAGAGAGGGAGGGAGGGAGAGAGAGTCCACCAAAGCCTTAAGGATAATCCTGGTCAGAGCAGCCAATGCACAGAAAGGATGGCAGGGCCGGCCCCATCATGAGACACGATGTCCCCTCACTGACCCACAACACTACAGGAGATAGCACAGTGTGGGAATTATGTCCAGTCTGACACCACCACCACCACCCCCTTCCTGCACCTGGGCGAAACGTGAAAGGAGCGCAACAGACCAGCAGGGGGAGCAAAGTGAAGAAGTCCCCGAGGAATCCCAAAAATAGACTGTGACTCCGGGGCGGGCCATGGCACCTCATCAGATCCAATCAGAAAACATTCATAAGGGTCATCAGACAAGCTTGGAACTATTTATAGGTGTTTTTCTTCTTTTCTTTTTCTCTGTTTTTCTATGTCTATCTCCATAAAATAGGAAAGATAAGCAATCCTGAGGAGAAAACAACACTAGTTCAGGGGGCACATGGGAGAGGAGAAGGTGGGGGAAAGGAGAGAAGAGCCAACAGACCCAGGGACAAAGGAACAACGAGATGTAAAATTAATGACAGGGAGGGCGTAGGATGCCTGGTGGGGTTCAATCCAGTGCAGTGCAGCTGAGAGGAAGTACAGAGAGCCGAATGAAGGTCAAACATAATAGTGAGACAGGCAGGAAGTAAAAAGAAATAGAGGAAAGAATCAGGAGGCAAAAAACATTTATAGAGGTATAATATACATATATTTATATGTTAAGTATCAAGGTAGCAGACATCGGCTCTCTACTCAAGCGCTCCCTCAACACAAGAACTCTGTTCTAATAACATGGCATTCTGTGGTGCTCATCTTCTCAACCCGATCACTGAAGACAAAAATGGGTGCATAAGCAAGTGTGAAGAAAACTGATGGTGCCCACCTATTAAAAGATATAGCATCTGGGGTCTTAAAAGTCTGAAGTTAAACAAGTGATCATCTAGCAAGGATGCAACAAAGCCCACATGGATGAAGCACACCAGCCTATGTGACCATAAGGTGTCAATGGGATCAGGTATCAGGCATTGGAAAAGTCAAAACAAACAATTATACTGATTTGAACAAGGAGGGTTAGAGTAGAGACCCAGGACCCATCTGTAGACAATCGGATGCCCCCTCACAGAAGGGTCTCAAGGAAAGAACGAGCCAGTCAGGGTGCAGTGTAGCACCAATGAAACACACAACTTTCCTCTAGTTCTTTAATGCTTCTCCCCTACTATCATGACCCAGTTCTACCGTACAAATCCAGCTAGACCAGAGCATATACATTGGTACAGGGAAGACCCCTCAACACATGGAATCCAGGGCACATAAACCCCTCAAGAACAGTAATGGGAGTAGCAATACGGGAGAACTGATAGCAGTGATCAATGTATAACACACACACACACACACACACACACACGGGGAGGAACAACAGAAATGTGGATGAAAGGAGACAGAGAATGGTGTAAGATATGAAGATAACAATCATGTATAATTTATCAAGGGTTCATGAGGGTCAGAGGGTGGGAGAGGGAGAGAAAAGAGCTGATACCAAGGGCTCAAGTAGAAAGAAAATGCTTTGAAAATGATGGCAACATATGCACAAATATAATTGACACAATTGATGTATGAATTGTTAGAAGAACTGTAAGAGCCCTGAGGTAGTTATATAATCTGCTGTCAATTTGAGACTTAAGAGTGAAAGGGTGGAGTTTAGCTTGTCAATCAGGTTGCAGCTTGATGATCTCATTTTTAGCCGCTAAGGAGATAACTTGCTGGAAGCAGGACACACACTCACTCCCTGGGAGACAGTACTGTAGACAAGGCACATGGAGCCACGCTAGAACCTGGGAACTGAAGGAGCCATGCAGAGACCCCTGCCAGCATTGAGATGTTTCCACTGCCACTGGATCCATTAGAATTTCAATGCATGGGCCTGTGATCGTCCTTCACTCGACGTCATTGCATGTGTTTAGTGAGTCAGAAAAGGACTTTATAGATTGGTATCAGACATATGAGCTAATATCAGACTTATGGACTTGATCTGGCCTGGGCTAGGATGTTTTCTCAATATTCCATTGCTCTTGTATATAAAGCTCTTTCTTACATACATGAGTGTCTATGAATTTGTTTCTCTAATCTACCCAGACTACCACAAGCCCCCAATAAAATGATTTTTAAAAATTAAGTGTAGAAAAAAAATTAAAGGAAAAGGGCATTGCATGAAAGTCTACCTATTCTATATGAAAAGCACAGATTTATGATACAAACTTTCTGGTCACTTGACACACAAGAAGCTCCTTTTGTACAACTCATGAGAACGGGATCTGGCAGGACAATGCCAGATAAGAAGTGTTAGACAGGGTTCTCTAGAGAAACAAATCCAGGACACATGATGATAGGTAGGTAGGTAGGTAGGTAGGTAGGTAGGTAGGTAGGTAGGTAGATAGGTAGATAGATAGATAGGTAGATAGATAGATAGATAGATAGATAGATAGATAGATAGATAGATAGATAGATGATAGATAGATGATAGATAGATATAGATACAGCACAAAGGAATATAACAGCTAATGCAGTACAACTCAGTTCAACTCACTTCCATGGAACAGTTAATATACTGGAAGTTCTTCAACTCATGAGAGCTGCTGGGTCCAAAGTCAAGGAAGCAGACAGCTGAGTCTTCCCTAGACAATGCAGGCAGTCCGGCCACAAGCAGCAAACAGCAGGATCCAACCGACTGATCCGACAGTGCCAAGCTCAAGTGACGTACACACCAGCAGAGTAGCAAAGCAGATCTCGAAGGAACCTCAAACTCTAGCGATATGATCCACAGGTTGGCAGTCCCACAGGTAGTGTAGCTCACGTCGAGGCAGAGAAGTAGCAGCTGCATGCTGGTCAGATCACCAGAGAGCAGGAGAGGGGGTGGGGCTTGCCAAACCATTTATTTCTTTGCCCTCCAATCAAACTGCAACCTTATTAATCCCACATGTTCCTATTGACCAGGTTGGCACAATAAACCTCCCTATCATATAAGAAGATTCCAAGAATTGTCTGCCATCATGTGCACATCCCATCTTCCTTGGTGTTTGGCTTTCACGGTTTTTATGTCTTGATAAAATCTTTCGCCTTGCTTTTTACTTAAATCACTAAGGTTTTCTGCAAAGCCAATTGTGCAGACAATGAAATTTAACAATAATGTTACAGGCAAGGCTGTTGAAAGAGCATATCATCTACTAATTGCATGTAGTTGTCTGCCTTCTTGTTTACAAGAAGAACAAATGAAGACCTGGCACATTATTCAATTTCATTCACTGATGCTATGAAATGTGGATCGCTTTTAAGTTGAGTGATCTGTGGGCCACTGAAAATTTCCGTCTTTGGTTTCAATGATAAATCCAAGTAGCTTATGCAAGATGTACTCAATGCACGAACCGTCTTTATTCAAAGTCTTTACAAATTGTTTCATCAGGTCAGCTTTATATGTAGTGTTGGCAGTATGATTCTATCTCGTGCTACTAAAGTTCATTGTCATTGTAAAATTTCCCTCCAACTACCATATATTCCCTTGGAGACCAATCTTTTCTTCCCCAGTGTTCATGTATGGCTATACTATCCCAAAGGCATAAAAAGCAAGTATACTTTGTGTAGCTACTTTGTTGGCCAAGAGGAAAATTACCGTATATACTCATGTATAAGTCAAGTTTTTCAGCACATTTTTAATGCAGTTTTTGTGGTAAAATTAGGTGCCCTGGCAGATATTCGGGTTGGCTTATACTTCAGTATCTATAGTAACTATCTTCAAGTCTACACAAATCACTCATTGATGTTCTTGGTAATTTATTCTTCTTTCATCTTGGTGGAGTAACTAATTGGAATAGAACCACATTTGTTGCCATTATTTGAAAGAACACATTTCAAATTATGTTAGCTGTCAATGAAATGATGTCAATTGAGTTATATTCTGAAAGAACAATTTTCATTAGGTTTCCGGATTCAATGCAGAATTCTAAATTGTGGTAAAGAATGGCAGCAAATCCTGTTCTCTCCCTCTATAAAGTGTAATTTTCAATCCAGGCTGAAGTACATTCTTTTCCTTTAGCATGGAGGCATGCAAATCAGAAGACTCCTTGGAAAGATTTAAATCCCTGGTCAGATAACTCAATTCATTCTGATCAAAACGTTCACTGTGTGAATTTGATTTGGGAATCACTTTCATTACCTCTACTTTATTTTTTAACTTGTGGGATATCAGACATGCAAGACTCATCCTTTCAGAACTGTGGTAGTTTATGGAAAGGTGGAACAAGAACAAAATCCAAGTGTGAACCAGGACTCCTGGCTGAGGGTGTGCAGGGTAAGACCACTTGTCAGGATTGTTTTGATCAATGCCAATGATATTAACAATATAATTATAAAATTATAATTAATATAAAAATAATAGTCTTCAAAATGTTTTTTTTGGGGGGCAGGGGTTCCCTCCAAACCAGTGGTACTCTAAATTGCAAGGAGCTTCTCTATTTGTCCACGTGCAAATGATCCATACAAGCTGCGCACACAACATGTGGAGCCCGTGGCTGATCTCCCCCTCACCTTATCTTGATCTCCAAGCTTGAACCCAAAATAACCCACATGATACACAAGAGTTGTGGGCAATGAAAACACATAAATTTCCCATTCAAATGAGAAAACTTGTTAAGACATCCTGATTCTGCAGAAGAGATCTTTTAAAAAACGGACTACAATGTTAGAAGTTCAATATCTAAGAAACTAGGGCTGAAGTTTACCTAATGCAACTTTCAGAGTAAGCACCCCAAGTAACCACAGAACTGCCTAAAACCTTGTTGGGCTGTGTCCTTAATTGAAGAAAAACAGGTATACCAAATATCCTTCTGAAAAATAGAAAACAAAAAGCCAAATCAGGACTCTTAGGTTACATGTTTCTCATTTAATGATTTCCCAGGAAATTCCATCACATTTAACCTTCTTTGATGAAATGAGCTATCACATTGTTGTGGTAGATAAAGACTCTGGCAAAGCTTTACCAGTCATTTTTCTGCTAAAGAGGTGGCTTTCTCAAAACACTCTCTTTATAAGCTGCTGTTATTGATCTTTGCCCTTCCCGGAGGTCAGAAAGCAGTAGGCCTGGAGCATGCCAAGAAACCGTCACCATGACGATTGCTCTGGAGTGGTTTGCCGCTGCTTTTCTTGGCCCTCATCTACATCACAGCAGTGACTGGTTTGTGTGTGCAGTGTTTCAGGACCGCACTTCATCACCTGTTTTTCTTGGAAGAAAAACTTCTGAATTTCTATTTAAGATTGCCAACGAAAGCATGGCTATTGTCTGCAACTGACTCAGCTACAACAGTTTTAGCACACAGTGAGCTGGAAGTTAGCTCAAGTTTAAATGTTCAGTCAATTTTGAAAGCTGAACAAATTGAGGTGTCTATGGTGGTGCCTATTGTGTTTCTGCTGCTGAACAAGATTGTTTCCGTGAGAATTGATGTGAATGTCCTCCTACTGCGTATTCTATCCCCAACAATGTCGTGTACCTTCTTATCTATTTCTAAACTGCTGATCTGTTTGAGGCATTACCCCCATAAACATTTTGTAAAGCACCAACTTCGCCATTCATTGACCTAACAATCATCTTAAACCTGGTGTTTGTGCTTGCTTCATTCTAAGAATTCTTGTTTATCTTATGAGTTCTTTTAATGCTGATCTACTATTACCCCATTCAGACATATTACAAAGTTATTATGACTTTATTTTGCCACATAAAAATTTGGCATCCATGCATCATTTTTCAATATAATATTTTTTCCATACGTTTTTAAAGACCCCGCCTATTAGTTCAACAGGACTGGATTTATTCAGTCTTTGGAGAGGGGTTAGGAAGCATAAACCAAGTAGAGCTTTCTAATAATAGGGTTACTGTTTGAGACAATTGTTGTTCTCCTTGGCTCTGTTGAAGTAATAGGAAACATTTAAACCGTGACCAATATGAAAAAAACACTGTGGATGACAACAGGGAAAGGCTTTCCAGCATTTTCACATTCATGAAGCCTCTCTTCAATGTGAATTTTTATATATCTACTAAGATATAAGTATCCATTAAAAGCATTCTCAAATCCCTTACATTCATAGGGTTTTCTCCACTGTGAACTGTTATGTCATGTGAGGGCAAAACAACTAAAAGTTTCTCATTCCACATACTCTGAGGGCCTCCCTCCACTGCTTTTATCTAAGTACTCAGGCGTTTGGCTCATTTAAATTCTTTTCCCCATTGCTAACGGTCAAAAACCACTCTTCCGTGAAACTATTCATACTTGTGGTGAGAAGTGAGGCTCAAACTAAGAGCTTTCAGTATCTTTATGTTCATAGGGTCTCTCTCCACTGTGCGTTCTTACATGTTTAGTGAGGGTTGAGGAATAACTGAAAGTTTTCCCACATTCTTTACATTTATATGGCCTCTCACCACTGTGAGTTCTGATATGTTTAGTGAGGGTGGAGGGATCACTAAATGCTTTCCCACATTCCTTACATTCAAATGGCCTCTCTCCACTGTGAGTTCTTGTATGTTTAGTGAGAGTTGAGTGATGACTAAAGGCTTTCCCGCACTCTTTACATTCATAGGGCCTCTCTCCACTGTGAGTTCTGAAATGACTAGTGAGAGCTGAGGTATCAATAAAGGCTTTCCCACACTCCTTACATTTGTAGGGCCTCTCTCCACTGTGAGTTCTGAAATGTCTAGTGAGGGCTGAGGAATCAATAAATGCTTTCCCACATTCCTTACATTCATAGGGCCTCTCTTCATTGTGAATTCTTATGTGTGTAGTGAGGTAGGAGCCTCGACTAAAAGATTTACCACAATCTTTACATTCATAGGGCCTTTCTCCACTGTGAGTTCTTATATGAGTGGTGAGGGCTGAAGAACATTTAAAGGCATTCCCACACTGCTTACATTCATATGGTCTCTCTCCACTGTGAGTACTTCTTATATGTCTAGTGAGATTTGAGATTTTAATAAAAGCCTTTCCACATTCCTTACATTTATAGGGCCTTTCTATACTGTGAGTTCTTATGTGAGTGGTGAGGTGTGTGGAGTATTTAAAAGTTTTCCCACATTGCTTACATTCATACGGCCTCTCTTGACTGTGAGTTTTCATATGAATCCTCAGGGTTGAAAAAAAACTAAAGGCCTTCCCACATTCCTTACATTCATATGGCCTCTCTCCACTGTGACTTCTTATATGTTTAGTGAGGTTTGAGGAATCACTAAATATTTTCCCACACTTCTGACATTTATAAGGCTTCTCTCCATTGTGAAATCGTCTTATGTGTGTAGTGAGATACGCGGCTCTACTGAGGGCTTTCCCACATTCTTTACATTCATAGGGCCTGTCTCCACTGTGAGTTCTTACATGAATGGTGAGGGTTGAGGAACATTTAAAGGTTTTCCCACATTGCTTACATTCATATGGCCTCTCTCCACTGTGAGTTCTTCTATGAATCCTTAGGGTTGACGACAAACTGAAGGCTTTCCCACACTCCTTACATTCATATGGCCTCTCTCCACTGTGGATTCTTTTATGTTTAGTGAGGGTTGAAGAATCACTAAAGGTTTTCCCACATTCTTTACATGCATAGGGCCTCTCTCCACTGTGATTTCTTCTTATATGTGAAGTGAGACTTGAGGCTTGACTGAAGGTTTTCCCACATTCTTTACATTCATAGGGCCTCTCTCCACTGTGGGTTCTTATGTGAGTGGTGAGGTGTGTGGAACATTTAAAGGCTTTCCCACATTCCTTACATTCATAAGGCCTTTTCCCACTGTGAGTTTTTATATGAGTGGTGAGGTATGTGGAACATTTAAAGGCTTTCCCACATTCCTTACATTGATACAGTTTCTCTTCAATGTGAGTACTAATATGTCGAGTGAGCTTAGCAGCTTCACTAAAGGCCTTCCCACATTCCTTACATTCATAGGCACTTTCTCCACTGTGAGTTCTCCTATAACTGCTGAGATGTGAGGGGCTATGAAACGTTTTTCCACAGTCCTTATATTCAAGAGGCATGAATCTCTTATGAATTTTTTTATCTGTATTGGGGGATAACGGACTACAGGCTTTACCGCATTCTTTACATTCATTCATATGACCCCTCACCTGTGCTTCAAATGATGAAAAACATAAATATCTCCCACATTTGTGACATTCATACAGTTTCTCACTACTGAGTGATGTCACAGGAGCCTTATATAGAGAGATATCATTGAAGTCCTTCCCATAGGCTTTATATTTATGGAGTGTGGTTCCATTAAGAGTTCCTACAGGAATGGTGAAGTGAGAGGAACAACTAAAGTCTTCTCCATATTCCTTATATTGACAGATACTGCATCCAGTGTCAGATGTGCTACCTTTCTTATCTGATGGATGATCCATGGAGGTTTTTCCACACTGAAAGTATTCAAAAGGATCCACTTCTGGAAGATTTCTTTTAAGCATAGTAAGATTTGGAACCTGGCTGATGATTTCCCCACACAGATTGTTTTCTTTACTTTCACAGAGGTTTTCTATTGTATTACTTCTGTTAAAAATAGAAAACATGGTTTTAGGAATTAGTTTATACCAACTTTATTACTAAAAATATTGTATATGCATATAGTATCTTATGTTACATAGGTGAAATCATGTAGCAGAAAAAGTGTTACTACTGTCACTACTTTTTTGAAATATCAGACCATCAAATACTTGATTTTAGACTGACATTTAAGAAAATTCTCTATCCTTCTACAGATACACTTATATTATATATGTGACAACTCATTTGATCCTTTACACTACCAGTGCTTATGACAATAACCCTATATACAACAAAATGAAAAAAAATTACCTGGTTCTAAAATATGATCAAAATTGTTGCTATCCTTGAGGCTACTGTTATAGCTGCTGTTTCAGTCTATCTCAATGAAGATTTTATTTTAAAGGCATACCAAATATATTAGTTTAACACATTAGAACTTTATATGAGCAGTTTTACTCTTGTATGAATGACTCACCTCAAAGATACTCTTTGGATTTTATGCTGATCTTCGCTGGCATGGGATTCAGAGATTCCTATCACTGAGGACAAAGTGTTATTCTTTATGAATTGCAGCACCGTCGAATCAATGTGTGACTTTTCTACAGCAGGAAGGTTTCCAGAGACTGATGCAATCAATCGAGGTTCAAAATATAAACAAAATGAAAAAAAAAAAAAGGCATTAGAGGAAACATGGTTTTTAAAAAAAATCATTTTATTAGGGGCTCATACAACTCTTATCACAATCCATACATACATCAATTGTGTAAAGCGCATTTGCACATTCATTGCCCTCATCATTCTCCAAACACCTTCTCTCCACTTAAGCCCCTGGCATTAGGTCCTCATTTTTCCCCTCCCTCCCCGCTTCTCCCTCCCTCATGAGCCCTTGATAATTTAAAATTTATAAATTATTATCTTGCCCTGTCCGATGTCTCCCTTCACCCACTTCTTTGCTGTCCGGACCCCAGGGAGGTCACATGTAGATCCTTGTAATCGGTTCCCCACTTCCAACCCACTCTCCCTCTATGCTCCCAGTACCACCACGCACACCACTGGTCCTGAAGGGATCATCCGCCCTGGATTCCCTGCGTTTCCAGTTGCTACCTATACCACTGTACACCCTCTGGTCTAGCCAGACTTGCAAGGTAGAATTCGGATCATGATAGTGGGAGCGGGGAGGAAGCATTTAGGAACTAGAGGAAAATTGTATTTTTCATCGTTGCTACATCACACCCTGACTGGCTCGTCTCCTCCCCGAGGAAACATGATTTATGGGCACAAATAAACACTATGACACATTTACTCTTTCAACAGTTCTGCAGTGTTTAGAACTAAATTAACTAGGAAAGAAATACATGGTTAGTAAAAGTTGACAGTGAGAAATACAAATAAAATTAGGAGACAGACGTGGAAAAAAGGAGCCCTGCTGCTGTAATTGTTATGAGTTGAGCTACTAATTGCAAGGTCAGCAGTTCAAAACCACCAGCCGCTTCACATGGAGGAGATGAGGCTTGTGATCCCGTAAACAGTTACAGTGTTGGAATCCCACAATGGCAGTTCTACCTTATCTTATGGGATCATTACAAGTCAGAATCAACTCAATGGCAGTAAGTTTGGAGTTTGGAGAGTAGAAAGAAATTACATACAATGAAAGGGAGGTATACCAAGTTCTCAGAAATGGAATGGAAAGATCATAGAATTTCCCAGACTCTTTTGGATGTCCTCTTGTGCACATTTAACATTAAAAAGGAAAAAATAAAAAATAAAAAAAGGGAAAAAATCTCCATGATCAGAAGTATGAGGTGATTGTTATAGTCAGAAAAGTAAGCTCAGTTGTCTATGTTGTCTCATCAGTTCAAAATACTATTTTTAAGAGCCATACAAATATAATCCCAACATGCAAGGCAGCTTTTCAAAAATCTGTTGATTTTCTGGTGTATCCCAACACACTGACCCTAGATAGATCTTATCTCCACTGTCTTCGCTTCCCTGGCAAAACCAAATTGAGCAATGTTGGCCTGGTGTCCATTGAAAAGTGCATACCACAAGGGAAGACTATACAGAGAATGAACATTTCCTTTAATACTGGGCCAGTAACTTATTGTCTAGGATCTCTGAAAAGGAATAGCTGTAAATTCATTTGCAGAAAAATAAACACACTCAACACTTTATAAGTTCCCACACCACAAATCTGTTATGAGTCCCAAATGACCATTGATGCTAGTGCTTACAGTTACAATATTTAGAGAGCATGAGGACTTTTACTTACACGAGAAATGAAGTCTTTCTTTAATATAGAGAGCTTTGTGTTTCTGAGGAAGCCAGGACACATGAGCTCCACAGACCGAGGCCGCACCTATTTCATTTAATAGCGTATTCCTATGTTACAGACAAGTACCAATGCATAAAATATTTTCATTAACTTAAAAAAAAAAAAGGATGCCACTTTTACCTATTGTTTCCAGGTTTTTTAAAGTTTCCATCATCACATCTCTGTAGAGTTTTCTCTGAGCGAGATCCAGCAAAGCCCACTCCTCCTGGCTAAAAACCACAGCCACATCCTCAACGACCATTGAGCCCTACAATATTGCAAACATTTTGATAAGTTAAGCAACATTTTGAAAAGGAAAGCAAAATACTCCAATGTTTAGAAAAACAAAGGGTGAGTTTGACAGCTCTGGGCTAGTAAGTGCCATTAAGATTTGTCATGAGACTCTGTGTTCTACATAAGCACAATCCAGGTTATAAACATCAGCATCAGCCCATCAGTATTTCACTTCCTCACTGATTATATTTTGCTAAGACTTACAACACGCTAATTCAGTATCTACAGAGTTTCATTGAAACCAAATGTGTAGTCTTATTCAGCTTTCAATAAGGTCAAAACAGAAAGCATAGCAGAAATTAAAGAAATGATCTCATTCAAACCATTACTTTTTTGTGACTGAAACATTACACATATCCCATAAGAGCCACCACAGAAACTCAATAAAACTGTGAATGATCCACAACTGGCAAACACAGCAGAACGGCAGTTCGCTTTCACTGATCACAGGAATGAGAATAAGGCGTCTATACAAACCCAATGGAAAATGAGTCGGTTATATTTTCCTTAACATCTCTGGTTTTCGCAGCTAAAATTAGGCCAGGAGCTGAATGTGGCACAAACTTTCAATTGTTTATAAGTAAGTTCAAGTAAAAGCTGAAGAAAATTAAAACAAGTCCACAAGAGCCAACATGCAGTCTTGAGTTTATCCCACCTAACTTCTGTGAACAACTCGAGAACAGATTTGATGTACTGGACACTCACAATAGAAGACCTGCCGAACGGTGAGAGGACATCAAGAGCAACCTTCATGAAGAAAGCAAAGAAGACACTAAAAAGACAAAAAACAAAGAAAAGATCACCGTGGATGTCAGAAGAGACTCTGAAACTGGCTCTTAATTGTACAGTAGCTAAAGCAAATGGAAAAAATGATGAAGTAATTGAAGAACTGAACAGAAAATTTCAAAGGGCAGCTTGGGAAGACAAAGTAAAATAATGAAACGTGCAAAGACCTACAGTTAGAAAGAATGTCTTGAATTGAAAGAACTCGAGATAAGTCAAGCCTCAAGTTGCAATTCAATATTGAATGAATGATGCAGGAAGCATCCCAAGAAAATGGAATACAGAGTCGCTGAACCAAAAAGCTCTAGTGTACATGCACCAGTTCAGAAGGTAGCATATGAGCCCAAATCTGCTGAAGGAAGAAGTTCAAGCTGAACTGAAAGCATTTTGCAAAAAACCAAGGCTCCATTAATTGAGTGAATGCCAACGGAAATATTTTCACAAGAGGATTAATTATTGGAAGCACTCCCTTGTCTGTGCCAGGAAATTTAGAAGATACTTACTTGGCAAACTGGCTGGAAGAGACCCATCTGTGCACTCAGTCAGAAGGAAGGTCACCCAACAGAATGTTCAAAGTATAGAACAACATCATTTGAATCATATGAAAGTAAGATTTCCTTAAAGATCATCCAACAATGGTTACAGTTCACCCACAGGGAGCTGCCAGAAGTTTAGGCCAGATTCAGAAGAGGATGTGGAACAAGGGCTATTGCTGCTGATGTCAGATGCATCTTGGCTCAAAGAAAAGAATGCCAGGAAGATGTTTACTTGTGCTTTGTTGACTATGCAAAGGCATTTGACTGTAAGTTCTTAATAAACTGTGGGTAACCTAGATAATAATGGCAATTCCACAACACTTCATTGTGCTCATGTGGTACCTGTACATAGATCAAGAGGCAGTTGTGTGAACATAACAAAGGAATACTATATGGTCTCAAATCAGGAAAGGTGTGCATCATGATTCAACCTTCTCACCATACTTATTCAATCTGTTTGTGGAGCAAATCATCAGAGAAGTTGGATTATCTGATGAAAATTATGGCATCAGGATTGGAGGAAGGCTTATTAATAATCTACAATATGCACATGACACAAACTTGCTTGATATAAGCTAGGACACCTTGAAGCACTTGCTGATAAAGATCAAGGTTGCATCCTTCCATGTGGAAGAAGACCAAAATCCTTAAAACTGCACCAATAGGTAGCATCAGGAGAAAGTGAGAAAAAGTTAAAATTGGGAAGGATTTTGTCTTTCTTGGATCCACAATCAATGTTCATGGAAGCAGCAGCTCTAAAGAGAGCAAAAGATGCATTGCATTGAGTCAATCTGCCACACAAGACCCCTTTCAAATAGTGAAAAGCAAGTATGTTTCTTGGAGCAGTTAGGAGTGTCTGACCCAATCGATGTGGTATTTTCAGTCGCCTCCTATGCATGTGAAAGTTGGACGCTTAATAAGGAAGACTGAAAAGAATCAATGCATTGGAATTGTGGTGCTGGAGAGGAATACTGAAAGTATCAAAGACTGCCAAAAAGATAAACGCATCTGTGTTGGAAGTACAGCCACAGTGCTCGTTAGAGGCAGGGAGGGCAAGAATTCATCTCACCTACTTTCGACAGGTTGTCAGGAAAGACCAATCCCTGGAGGACATCATGCTTGGTACAGTGAAAGGGCAGTGAGAGAGAGGAAGGCCCTCAGAGAGATGGACACCATGGCTGCAACAATGGCGCGGGCACAGGAACGATTGTGAGGCTGGCACAAGACTACAGTATTTTGTTCTGTTGTGCAGAGGGTCATTATGGGTCAGAACTGACCCAATGTCACCTACCAATAGCTGGGAGATGAGGAGGTGACAGACCTACCTGTTAATTAAAATATATATATCCTTTTGGAGAGTTATGAATTTTTATGTTATTTCAGCCTCTTCCTTGTCACCTTCATAAAGATACGCATTGGTGAGGAAAGTCAGTAAGAGCTCATGGGAGAAAAGGCACAAGAACCCAGATCTTGTCACAATTCTCAAACCCCAAGACCCAGTCCAACTGTACAGTGACTACACAAACGTCTGATGTTCAAACCCGACAAAGAGCACTGTGCATTCCGAAGGAAGAGTTTCAATATTCTTGCTTTGTTGACTGCGAGGAAGTTAAGATCTACACTTAAAATGACTATAAACACGATCGATGTAATCCACATCGCCAAGTAAAAATTACAAACATTTTTTCAACGAACAACTACTGTTATGTAGACTTCTTAGTATAAGGAGGAGATTAATATAAAATAAGCTGACCTATAGATGGTTTGCTTTTAAATTCCCAGGGGCCCTAGGAAGCAGACACGCACACAAAAAGCCTGAAAGCAGAGCCACGACAAAGGCTTACAGTTCCAGCTCTGGAGGCCACACAAGCAGGACTAGCTGAGCCTGACAAGCGACACTCCCGCTCTGTGAGACTGACTGCTGGAACCTAGCACCCCGTCCCTCGCTTCCTCCTTCATTCAGTACAAGCCTGCTAAATGAACAGTGGGTTCTGAAAGGGAGAATATGCCTCTTGCCAAGAAACAGGTGACGTGAGCTGTGTCATCTCTGATTTGATAGTGTCACAGCAAAACTCTTGCTGGCATGAAGTTCCTAAAATCTTCAATACTGCAACTGCGATTTCTGAAAAGTCTTAATAAAAGTTTCCGAATACACTGGATCGTTTATATGTGATGACTCTAATAAGCAGATGTTATTTCAAACTCATATTTGAGTAAACTTAGAAACAATTAAGCAATCCATGTGAAATGTTGACCACGCAGACTATTGCTAAACCAGGGTCATGCTGCAGACAATTTCCCATGAAGTATAAATTCCTAACACTGATTCTGTTCATATGGGTACAGTGTTCTTATTCTGGCTGTTATTCTACGGTAACATCATGGGGGATCTCTAGCTTCTCAGGAGACTAGAAAGAACTGAGGTCTAGGCCCAAGGCTTAAGGCCAGAGAGAGCAGGGCGCCTGAGTTACAACACTATCCTTAAGAGTCAAAATGTGGACAGAATTAAGTGTATATCAACAGATGCATGGATGGACATACAATGGAATACTGCTTGACTACAAAGAAAAATGAAGTCCTGACAGATGCTAGAAAATAAGCAAACTATGAGAACCTTGTGCCTTATGATTCCACGTCTACGAAATCGGCAAAGGCAGAGTGGCCAGACTCACCCATGACTACCAGGAATGTGCAAGTGCAAGGAAGGGGTGCACAGACAGCGGCGTGGCCTTCCCAGTGGTGACTGGTAGCAGCACAGAAACATAGTAATGAAAATAGCTGCCCAAGAGATGAATGTCATAATTGTCACTATATATCCGCTCCCATTTTTAAGTTACTGTTGAATCCGTTGAAGGGCACGCTGACCTGTGAGTGTACAGTAGAACAGCCACATACAATCCAAAGCTATAACCCTGTGCATGCAGATCACCAAGCACTCTTCAGAGGTGCCTGTGAACAGTTTCAAACCACCAACGTCAAGTGCTTAACTGTTGTCACCACGCATTAAACGACACAAGTACAACTTGTTGGATGACCCAATGTTCTGCTGTATGTGTCTATCTGTCTGACCGTTAAAAGAGATTATTTCTTTAAAGGTTGAAGCAGAAATCAGAGATGTTTTCAAACACGCAAACAGATATGGAGGAAACTGATGACATAGGAAGTACAATTGCCTTGAAAGACATGGCAAAAGAAGATATTCAGAGACAAGAGAAATGCTGTCGGTCAGAAACTCAGAGCTACAAAGAAAAGGGAGAGCATTAAAGAATAAAGTTAATCTTTTTCTTTCTTCTTAATTGATCTAAAATGAACACTGTTCAAAATTATAGCAGTAAAACTCTATTATCGACTTTCACCCATCTATGGTAAAGAGCCTGGTTTACTGCAGAACTCACCATACTTCCTTGCTCCAGCTTTCTAAGCCCAAGAAGCCATACAGGCACAGGGATGGGAGTGGAGGCAGATACCCAGTAGTTTGAAGGCAGACGAGCAAGGCTTCCTTCACACACCAGTCAGAGCAGTTGAAATCCTTCCTTGCTTTATGGATGTGCAAGATGGTCGGGTCCAAGACCCCAGCTGACCTCACTGCACCCCACCTGAGACCTGGAATGGAGAAGGGTGGGGAGGAGATGGTGTTGAGTAAGAAGAGAGGGGCAGGTGTCTAGCTTCCTCCCCTGCTGAGGGTACTGCTCTACCCTGAGCGTGTTGGTGGCTCCAGGTTCCAGAGCACAGCTGCGATCTTCATACAGCTCCGCGGCCTCTTCTTTATGGCAACGAGATGGAGGCACTGACTGACTCCCACGGCATGAGAAGCAACCAGGCCTGGGGCACCTGGGAAACTTGAACCTGAGTCCCTCCAGGTAGTCAGGGATGCAATGCTGAAGTGGTGGGTTCACCTATGTAACTTGGTTCTACAAAGCCCTACATATTTTTATTTCTCAACTTTTCTCAATGAATTTATTAGTTTCTTTCATTTGTAATTATCTACCTTTAAATCCTCTCTGATATACTTTTCAAACCTACTTTCATGACATTTATAGTACTGTATTATATGACTCCATCGTGTGTCTTTGAAATGCCAGCAGGGTCAGCAGAGCGTCCAGACGACAGACAACAGAAGAAAAGGCTGTCTACACTTCAGACGAATTAGCCGCGGAAAACCTTATGGGCGGAATTGTAACACTGCCAGCTACTGAAAACCTTAGGAAAAGAAGCAAAATAGTATCAGAAATAGTGCCAGAAGATGAGCCCTTCAGGGTGGGAGGCATTCATGACTGGGCAAGAGCTGCTTTATCAAATAGAGATGATCATGGTGACATAGATAGAGTTTTCATTGGCTGATGGGCATGACCCAAAGTGAGGGACAAAACACAGCTGCAAAGTGAAATGAATGATTGGATCTCTGCACAAAATATGATTCTAAGAAATTGGAAGTTGTCAAAAATGAAAAGGAACACATTAACAAAGTCAACATTCTAGGCATTAGTGTGCTGCGATTAACTGAAATTGGCCATTTTGAGTCAGAAAACTATGATTTACTATGCTTGGAATGACACAATCAAGAAGAATCATGTTGCATTCATGATCAAAAAGGACAATTCAAGATCGACGGTGAAGTACGATGCTGTCTGTTATAGCAGTATATCTATGCACATTCAAGGAAACCCAAACAAGACATCTACTAGTCAAATTTATGAACTGACCACTTAAGGTAGTGATGGGAAAACTGAAAAATTCTATTAACCCTTTCAGTCTGAAATTGATCAAACCTGCAATCAGGATGCATTGATAATTATTGGACATTGGAATGCAAAACTTGGAAAGCAAGTGTTGAAAAGCAGGGATGTTACTTTAAGGACTGCAGTGCACCTGACCCAGCCATAGCATTTTCAATCGCCCCATACGCATGTGGAAGCTGGATCATGAATAAAGAGGAATTGACGCATTTGAATTATGGTGAAGAATATTCAAATTGTCACGGACTGCCAAAAGTACCAACAAATCTGTCTTGGAAGAAATAAGCGAGAATGCTCCTTAGAGGCAAGGATGCCAAGACTTTTTCTCATACTTATCAGGAGAGACCAGTCCCTGGAGAAGGACATCATGCTTGGTACAGCAGTGGGGCAATGAAAAAGAGGATGACTTTTGACAAGATGGACTGACACAGTGCCTGCCCATATGGGCTCAAACCTAAGAACAATTGTGGGGATGGTGCAGGACTGGCAGTGAGTGCTTCAACCTGTTGTACACTGGGTAGTAGGAGTCGGAGCTAACTCACCTGCACCTAACAACAACTATGTGATTGGTAGTCCTCCTGTTGAGTTGGAAACTAGCATTACTTTCTTCCTCTTGAGCATTTTTTCTTTGTTTTCAAACCATGGTACCAGCAGACCCCAAGCTTTGCCCAATAAACCATTGTTGATGTAATTAAATAATTGTTATCTAAGAAGCCAATCAACAAATGTCATGGAATCATTCAGTTATCTCTGAGCTCCCACCTTCTGCCTCAGCCCCCACTACTTTTCACCTTTCCTCTATTCAACCTGACTCCCACTCTCTCCTTTGTCTCAGTGTAAATGCTCCCTCCTCTACCACGATCTTTACACAAGGGTCTTGCCTGCAAACAGAAACATTTTTAAAAAAATATTTCCTCTCTAACAGAACTCTCAAAATTTTATTCACATTCTAATTTCAATACTTACTATTTCCAACATAAACTAGGAGCTCCTTTATTATACAGAAATGGCAATCCATACCAGAATTGCTGAATCAGAATTTGCATTGTACCTAGATCCCAGGTAATTCACTTGATATTCAAGTATGATAGGCATTCACTAACCTACAGCCTGTCGTTCCAGGAACGGACATTCTATCCCTAGATCCTGTGAGGCATGTACTACATTCATTCTCTCCCTGCACTCTCATTCTGATCCACACCCAATCTCCTGGTCGACACCTGCTCAGAGCTTTCCTTCACTTGTTCACAACAAGCTCCCGCCTTAAGGCATTCTATCATGGTGGTCATTTTCAAACTGGCAACATAAGGCTGCTTAATGCATCAGAGGCTTTCCACTGGCCTCTAAAGAGCCATCAGCACCGTTCTAAATGACCCGCTGCTGTTGCCTCCTTCAACCTGGCCACAGAAACACCTTGCTCCCAACACCAAACACAAAAACGTTGTCCTTTCTCCGCTTCGGGTATCTCTGACTTTTGTCAAGGAACTAATGATATTGGATTCTCTGCTGCCTCAGGGATTCACAATTCTCCCAACTGAGAGGGTCTTCCACTGCCACCCATACCACAAGATATCAACCCTGTGCAACGGTGCATTCAGCTAAATAAAATTAATTTTATGAATCTTCACTTCAATAATTTCTCCTTTCAAGTAGTCCCCCCTGATACACAAAGACCCCACAGGAGAGAGTGTAACTTCTTTATGGGTGTTTGAGGTTGGAAATCTACTGAGAAGGGACCTCATCTCTCTCCTCTAGATTGACTTTGCAGAAAGACTGACCAAGCTTCCATTTAGAAGCTCAATGCTTAACCCAGCGTGACACTAGTGTTCCTTCAAAGGGAAATAAAGTTGTGAAAAGCAAGGACAACATTCCTTCCAAATTTGCTTATGTTCATATAATAAAGGCCAACGCAGACCTAAACTGACCTCTTCTGAAACCTGTAAGACATTTAAACAAAAAGGAGGGGATGTATGCTCAGGGTGAATCTGAACCGAGACACAATTCCTAAGACTTACCAAATTCTTATAGTTAAAAAACCGTTCCTCTAATTGGACAGCACCTAGTGCAAAGCCCATGTTGGGTAATATTCTCATCTTTGAAAATACTGATTTCTTTTTTAATCTTTTGAATTCGTTATTAAAGAATTATACATTTAAGTCTTTTGAATTCTTTATTAAAAATGATAAATTTAAGTCAGATAGCTACATATAAGCTAGACAACATAACATCTTAAAAGTTAAAATTAAATATATCCACTTTCTTCTACGTGTGAGTGTGACAGCCTATGCTGAGGTAACACGCCCCTTGCTGCCGAGGGGAGGTTATACCTACTTGAGGTGAGGGACACGGAAGCCAGGTCACAGGCTGCTTTCAGAAGGTCCACC